CCCCCCACACCTTAGCTTGTTTTTTCAAGACACAGGAATACTGAATACTGACTGCACCTACAGCACAACTGCAGCAATATTCAAGCTTAAATCCCTCCAAGTCATGTTTGAAATAAAACAACAGACTGAGCAAAGACGATCTGGACTCATTCTCCCAGCAGCACTGCCTGCAACACTTCAGGTATATCACGAAGCCAAATTATCAGGGTTTTTTTTTAGTTTATTGAAATGTACAAAAGTATCTGGTTTCTTCACACTTTTGGCTAATCCAGTTAAAACGGGTATTTCACTTTTTCTGTCCCCCTGCTAAACTGAAGACACAGATGCTTTTTTCACAGCCCAGCACAGTTGCATCTAACGTACCAACTGCAATCAGTAACTATGTGCACGTACAGGAGATGCTGTGCAAATAGTACCAAGACTTGAAGTTCATCAGCAGTGCTTCCAGAGATGGAAATGGTTTTGAATTGCCATTACCTATGGTTAAGAACTCTCAATTCTGCGGCTGTGTTGCTCCTGCTCATGCTGTGTTATTGCTTAGCTGGCATTACCTCAGATTTCCTAAATCTTGCCCCCAGCACGCTTGATTCAACATAAACTAGTTTATGTGAGAGGTCCCCAGAAATACGAGGCAAGAATTCGAAGCCAATGTTCCCGAGTCACGTATCATTGCACTGAATTTGTTTGAACAGACGTACTCGTTTTTCCTCTGCAGCTCTACAAAACCAGAATTTGTCATGCACAAACTCCTTCTCATTTTCAGTTCATGCGAGTTCACACTCACAAGTTTCGCTTTGAGTTTCAGCTTCAAGCAACTCTATAAAAACCAAATCAAATTCAGTCAAGGTTCTGCTTGCTTTCAGGTTACAGTTACGAAGGTGTTTTTACTGCTTCTGAAGTAAAGCACAAAACAGCCAGTTCAAAACCAGGGTATAGCTGCACCACGTGCGTATGAAACTCTGATGAAACCCACTCAAAAGTTCAGTAGTCAAATCATAATCAAATGAGAAATGAGATAAATTTTGCAATAAATACAGCAACACCAGCTCCAATGTACACTCACTTGCACAGGCATGAAGATAAAGTCTCATTTTTCACACCCTGAGCACGCGCATCCTCCAAAACTGGCTTAACACGCCTAGCACAACCACCGCTAAGCAGTGGGCAGCTACGGCGGCCAACTCAAGCTCATCACCCAAGAACTCACAAAGCTCCTCAGGTGGGTTTTTCAGCCACGGCTGAGCATCCCACACTGCTGCAGCTACACAGGAGCAGCATCAGCACGAACTAGCCTAATGCCAGCGCGTGTATGTTTGTCCGGGCTCAGTTCACACGCGTTTCGGTCCCAGCTCTGCCTAGCACAATCGCAGGCAGACTCCGGCCTCCAAGTTCCTTTTACAGTCACTTTGCATCTCTGGCGTGCTTGAAAAGCTAAATCCATACATAGATATTGTGTATGGATTGTCACCTTGGCAGAGACAGGGAAAAAAGGCAGGTTCAGGGGCGCTTTCTTAGGCCCTCCCTTAAGGCAGTGGCAGAGGGCTGATCAAACTCAGGTCTGAACCCGCCTCACGCTATCTGGTGAGTGGGCACTGCTGAGCATTTCTCACACGAAGGACTCCACGGATGGGCACACAATGAAGAACACGAAGGGTCTGTTAATTCAGTCTCTCAGCTCTACCGCGATAAGGACAGGCACGATAAAACACAAGCCCGCAACTCCGTCCCACTCGCCTCCCCCTGCCCTGAGCCCCTCAAACCTCTCGCTGCTCCTGCTCAGTCCCTGAAGTTTGAATCCGACCCAAAGCACAACCATGACGAACGCTTTCTGCAGTTGCCATAGTGACCAAGGCCTGCAATTGAACCAGGAATCAACGCCTGAAATGCCAAAACGGCTTGACCCACTTTGAAAAAAAAATAATAGTAATAAATAATGCTTTACAGACCTAACTGACCAGAGCGCATTCAGGGCCTCGCATACCCCTGCAGTGTAGAAGCAACACATTGAGTCTGGGACAGAACACAAGCAAGCCCACCTAAGCAGCAGCCCCTTGCTCCTAGGTGAAAACTCTGCATAGAGTATATGTAAGCACGGAAGGCAGAGTGTGTCGTCTTGGTTTATGTTCATAGTGAAGAATTGAGCTTTTCTTGACGTGGTGGAAAAAGAACGAATATTTGGTCATGCACGGACAAGCTACCTGGTCACACCCTATCTTGGACGTTCCACAAAGCAAAGGCAAGATGCAAAAAGGCCAGACTTCCTCCTCCAACGGAGTTTTTCCTGTGAAGATTTGGAGATTTGGATGAATGGATGGAGACTGCAGTAAGCAGTAGTTTTTGGGAAAGGTTCGGTCTGTACCCCACGAGCTTGGGGTTCTTACAGCTGTGAAAGAACCCTGAGGATGCTTTGCAATTCTCTAATGGAGAACTCAACAAGAAACCTGACTTTGTTCAAGGGATTTGTAACGAGGGCAGCTCATCTAAACAAGTAGCAGGTTCAGGCACACCGTCCTTCCTACCTTCGTTGTGATCACCAGCCTCGCAGATGGCAGGAGCAGAGCAAGGCCACCATTTCCTGCACTATATTTAACTCCTTGGACTTCAAGAAAGTTCTGATCTGGAAAGTTAGCCAGCAGCCCCCACGTCCACCAGAGTTCCCAACTGAATTTACCACAGTAGATGTGCTGAAGTTGCTCACATCTCCCTGCAGCCCATAGCACCTACTTAATACTAAGCTCTTCAAGGCCCAACACTGGGGTTACTGACAGCGTTGTAAACCTCGGGCTTAACTCTGGAAAGCATTGAGCACTACATCCCCAAACCAGAAAAGAATTTATGCCACATATTTAAATCTGTATGTCTGAAGTCTACGGGCTGTGCAAAGTCAGGCCTGCGCTTACATGCTTCTCTAAACAATGAAGGAGATGCTCAAGCATGAAACAGAACTCTGCTGGTAAAGTCTTGAAAAGAGCAGGAG